AAATCCAGAAGCCGAACATCTATTTATGCGCCTTGAATCTGCCTGTTTGATGAAAGCCTTTTAAAAACTAAATAAGGCATAGAAATAAGTATCTCTTTATTAGCTGTGGATTATTATTATTCCAAACAAAACCCAGACTTTGTAATCCCTGCCTGCGAATGGTTTGCCCTCATCCGAACACAAAAGCCACTAGTTTCGACCTTGCAAAACTGCAAAGCTGTTACAGCTACATCAGCCTGACATTTTGATTGTACCTTTCTTAAATGCCTGTGGTTGGTAGACCGCTTAAGGAAGAGGACTGCCTAGCTGTGGGAGGGTGGATGGAGCATGCCCAGAGAACAGTTGCCACTGATGGTCAGAGCCGGGTTTGATTTGCAGGTGCTGGACCACCTCGGAGAATGAGAGCCGGGAGGAAGAGAGGATTTCAGCCAACCCTTATGACTACAGGAGGCTCCTGCGCAAAACCTCCCAGCGGCAGCGCCTGGTGCAGCAGTTGTAGCACACCTACGGAGCTTCCTAAAGTGCAAGACCTTGAAATATTACAAGAATATCAAAGAAGCGGTGGGGTGCCCTCTCGAACTGGAATGCGCAGGCGCTGAGGCCTCTGACAGCCTGCCAATGTTGTTCCTTCTCAAATGCTAGGGCCTTGAGGCCTTGACACAAGTGAATCTTGACCTGGGATTAAGAGAATCAAAACACCTCGGGTAGTTCCAGATTCTGGGCCCTGACTTCTCCCACCTGCCCGTCCCTCCCACTCCCCTAATGTATTCCTTTATTCCGTTGATCCGCGATTCGGGGTACTTAACTGTGCCAGAGCTGTCACCACTCCTCTGCTCATTTTTAAATGATTTAAGAAATTTCTTCTCTCTTGAAATGGCTTTCCCAGGACCCAATGACTGCCACTACCTGGTAGGGTATACCAGAATAAAGGCAAGGTGGGAGTGGAACGAACCTTGAAAGTGAACTTATCTCAAACTTGAGTTTTCTCCTCTCTTGATTATTAATCCCGCTAAATAAAGTAAGCATCCCGGAAAAACCTGTTTTACATGGGCTTGTCTGCCTTGTGCCTTGAGAGCCTCTGTCTGATAGACATCTGGGCCTGTGGCAGTAGCTAAGATGACCTCTGTCTTCACCAACAAATTCCCACCTCTCAGTCAAGCTAAAGCACAGTCTAACTTAAACTTTAACTAGAAACGTGGGTTGCAAACAAACCTCCAAACCCCACCACTCATACACCCCCTTCCCAGACAGCCCTTGCTGGACTGGTCCTCTGACTGAGGACCATCAGATCTCAAGGTCTCTTACTCTGCAGATTTGAAGTAGCCTTCCCCACCTTAGAAGTTGACCACACAAAAGTGAGCAGAAGGGCAGTGGTTGGGAGGCAGGAATTTCCTTACCACTTAGCTGTAACCTATCCAGGAGGAGGAGGAGGAGGAGGAGGAGAAGGAGAAGGAGGGAGCAAAAAAAAAAAAAAAAACCCTTCAGGTTAACCTTCCATAAAAGACACTTTCCAGGTCTACACCACCTAGACTGGATAAACAAGGTACAGACAGGATTCCAGGGAGGAACTGGCAAACAAGGTCTGTTCAGGTCAGGATTTGGCTCCTGTTACTTAAAAAACAAAACACAAAGCAGAGGGCTCTGGTAACTTTTATGTCTGGGAGTGGTCATAGTGTCTGTAGATCAGCCTTTAAAGCTCAGTGTAGCCAGTGCATTTTACAAGTAGGAGCCTGTTGAGGAGTGGCCTCCTGTTGTGACAGGCCCAAGCCCCCAAATTCAAGTTCCCTCCCCTCCCTGCTCCTTCTCTAGATAGCTCTGCTCCAGTTTGGGGCCAGACAGGAAGGACAGAAGAGTCACCCTAACTGTACCAACCCCACGGAGCAGCAGAACCTGTACCTGGCACTAGAAATCGGAACAGCGGGGCTCACGGACTGATGTGAGGGAGGCAGGAGTTCAGGTGTCCAGGCTGGCTAGGCTTCCTGTGACCACCATCCTACCTGGAACAGGTGCGTTTAGGAAGGAGCCGGGCTCTGCAGCTTGCCAAACCTACGCTTTAATCCTGGCTTCCAGTAGACCCTGCACCGCACCGCATAGTCCTAGCAAGAGTGTCTGCGAAGGTACATTCGGTTGCAGAGTAGAGACGCAACAGAAAGATCTGCCTGAGCCCCTGCACCCGGGATTAAGTAAGGCTGGAAAAGGAAGATTGAAACGTCATAGTTGTTTCCAAAATCCTTTTTCTATCTAGTCTTTTTCAGTCTCTCAACATTGTAGCAGCAAAAGGATTCGAGAGAAAACTTGTACCAAATATCCTTTTTTGACACCCCCACGCCCTGCCACGGGGATTTCTGGGTAGTGCACAGTGGACAAGGAATAGGTAATCCCAGGAAACCTTCGGTGGGCTATGCAAATTTTGGTGTGCGGCTCCTACTTTAGAGGGAAAGCCTTCCCCGCTATCAGTCTTCTGTTCCCAGTCTGCTGCCTCCTTTGTGAACTAATGACTGTAATTATTACCTCCCAGAGCTCTTTTGTTATCAACAACCAGGAGCCTGAGGGGGGGGATGGGCCCTTTGGGGAAATGAAAAAAATTACAAAGCAAATTGCTGTCTAGGAAGGGTTGGATTTTTTTTTTTTAAAGACAAACCCAATTCCAGCCTGCAACGGAAATGGGGAGTGGCAAAAAAAAATTGAATGTAAATACCATTAGATTTAAAAAAATACTCAGAGCTTTGGGATTCAATTGCATTTCAATAGAGCCACTTTGAGTCACTATTTTTGATGAAGTTAAATTCAGATGTTGAGAATCTGTCCCCTTGTTTTTATCCATTTCTTCCTTGGAAGGGGTGTGTGTGTGTGTGTGTGTGTGTGTGTGTGTGTGTGTTTACGAACCTTTTTATTTCCGATCACTCATCCATGGTAAAAAGCTTCAACCTCAGCCAGCTGGCTTGAAGAGAATTATTTGCAGGATTTAGTACGGATTTAAACAAAGACCCAGGCTCTCCAAGTCTTGTTGGCGAGGCTGGATGGAGAAAGCACCCAGCATTCCACGAGCTGTTGCCTCTGCCAGCTGAAGCCACCAGACCTGGAATACCCTAAAAGACTGACCAAGCTGAGGCCTAGGGTCTCAGCATACTCCTGCTTTTGGCTTAGAGACATGCCTTGGGTAGCACCTCAACAGTGCCAATCGCATCCCCCGTCCTCGCCCCGGTTCCACGATCTCAGACCTCAGTGGGCATCCACTAGCTAGATCCTCCCTGGGCCCCTGGATCCTGGCAACTTGGAAGAAGATAAAGCTTTGTGGAAAGAAACCACTTGCAGGCCCAAGACTTGGGCATCTACAGTTTGCCGAGGTCTCAGGATCCCTAATAAAATAAGTGATCCTGGTCCCTGCTCAGGCAACAGCTTTGGTGCCTCCTTTGAAAACTCAAAGAAGGAACGAAGAAAGGCTGTGGAGACCAGGGAGACTGCAGCCCTTTGCCCAGGGAGCACAGGATAGAAGTTCGGGAATGGTGGAAAGCAGCACCTTCCAGCCAGTCTTTCTTGAGCTCTCTGTAAACTGGGAACCATGGGTCTGGTATAGTCAAGAGGAAACAAAGCTGAGTCCGAGGGCCCGAAATACTTCTCATGGCGCTGTCACGGCGCTTAAGAGCCTTTAGGGAAAAACAAACAGAAAGGATTGTTGCAACCCTTTATTAGAAAACAAACGAAACTACTTCGCTCTGGGCTGCCGGGAAATTGCTAATCTTGTGTTACTAGGCACCTCCTGACCCTAAGGACTACTTTTGGGAAGGCGAGAGGTCAGCAGTTTGAGTGTCCCTGAAAAGACGGGAGTGCCTTTTTTTCCCTGGGATTTGGAAACCCTGGTTCGCTTACTTCGGAAACCCCCTGAGCCCCGCCTAAGCACAGGTGTCCTCAAGCCACGCATAAGCCGCAGGCCAAGGTCACCAAGTAACCTGATCCCCTCCCCCATCAACCATAAATCCTGTGGTCTGGGTCAGCTCTCCCCCACCCCGCTCTCTTTCAAGAAGTTTCTGTTCGTTTTATTTATTTAATTTTTCCCAGCCTGAGGTCCTCAGTGATAGACTCCAGCATGGATTTTAATTGCTTCAATCAGCAGTCTTTCTCTTCAGCCGTCAGTCAAAACCTGGACGGTGGGTTTGGGGACCCAGCGCATGACTGCACAGGAACCGTACGACCCCCCGCCCCCCAGGCTGGCTCAGCTCAGCAGGTAGACATTAGGCTTTGGTAAGGAGATGAAATGAGTCCGTCGGAGTGGAAGCAGTCCACCTTCCTTCCTTTTTGGTTCCTTCTTCATGCTCTGGAGCTCTGCCTGATTGGGGCCAGGTGGCCTGGGCTCTTGAGGTCACAGCGACCTCGGCACGGCTTTGGAGGAAGGCGGGCGCGAGAACCGCTCTTTCTCGGCCGCAGCCAGAGACAACCCTCAAACAATGAGCCAATCGATGCACACGTGAAATCGCTCTCGCCCACCCTTTCAATCTTGCCAAGGTCTCCCTGGTCCGCGGGGTCACCGAGGCCAGCGTGCAGCGGGCTGCAGTAGCACCCTGGACAGCGCGTCCCGGCCGAAGCGGACCGGGAGCGCCTGTGGCTGGGTCAGCGCTGCGCGGGCACGCCTCCCTCCCCCGCATCTGACTCGCGCTCCAACGCAAGCCTCGCACCTCACGACTCAGCTCCTCCATTTCCCTTCTGTCACTCTCTCATCTACCCTCCAAGCTCCCTCTCCCTAAAAATCTCTTGGGCCCTTTCCACTTTCCAATCTCCAGACTGCGAGGATCACGGCTACTCCCCCATTTAACCTCGGTGCAGAGCACAGCGGCGCATCCCTGCGCCCTGACTGAACATACACACACGCACGAGCACTGGCATACGCAGGCAGCACGTTTCCTGTCCCTGTGTGACACCCACCCTCGTCGCGCGGCCGCTCCAGCCCCCGCACGGTGCCCTCCTCCCGCCACACACACTCGCACACGCACGCACGCGCGTGCAGGGTCGAGCCGAAGGCAGCTTGCCCGCAGCCACTCGGAGGCGACCGGCGCCAGTCTAGCAGAACCCATGGCATCTCCCGGCTCCAGCTTTTGGTCCTTCGGATCTGAAGATGGCACTGGGGATCCCGAGAACCCAGGCACAGGTAGGAAAATTAGGACCTGCAGCGGGAGAGCTTTGTGGGTGGTTTAGGGTTTGCAGGACTACGCAGATGGTCAAAGCTTTGACATCTGCAACAGGAAACTTATTCTGTCGCTTCGCCCGGTTCTCTGGGTTAAGTCTGTAACTGTGCGAGAACCCCAAAAAACCCCTCAGTCTTTTGTCCCCTTGGGAAAAAGCTTAGGGTTGTCCTGGCCCCTTCCCCTAAACGTTGAAAGACTGCAGCGTCTGCGAGAGTCAGAAATCAAGGATCTGGGCTTTGCCTCGGGACGTCTAGACCCCGGGCAGGGAAAGACAAAACCGGAACAGGATAGAGTTTGGGGTCTGAAAGGCAAGCGCGGCGAGAAACAAACAGCCCTGGGTCTAGGAAAGGCAGCCGGGGTGCGGGCAGGAAGGGTCTGGAAACCCGAGGACATGGCGAACAAGTGCAAAGGGCCGCGGTGTGGGCTGCCTTCTTTCTGGAGCGCTGCAAGGCGAGGGCTGGCACCGGCGTCGGGTTCCCTCGGGCTCCCCCACCTGCTGAAAGCAAAGTCGCTCGCCCGTGGCCGCTCCCGAGGTTGGCGCCTGGACTGAGAGACCTGGTTCACTTGGACCGACATTTCTCACTCGCCCGTCTGTTCTCTTTCCGATTCGCTTTTCCCTGCCTGGCGATTGCAGCAAGAGCCTGGTGTCAGGTGGCCCAAAAGTTCACAGGCGGCATCGGAAACAAGCTGTGCGGTGAGTGGCGGCGTGGCTGGGGAGAAGGGCGGGCAAGGTCGGGGCGCGCGGCTGGCGGGAGCAATGTCGCCGGCTCCGCTCTGCGCCTGCAGCGGACGTCGGCCGAGTCCCTTGGTTGCGGGTGGGTGGGGATGTAGGAGCCGAGACTGTCGCTGGCTGACCTAGGTCCCGCGCTCTGTCTCCTTGTCCAGCTCTGCTCTACGGAGACTCCGAAAAGCCAGCGGAGAGCGGCGGGAGCGTGACCCCGAGGGCTGCCACCCGGAAGGTCGCCTGCACCTGTGACCAAAAACCCTGCAGCTGCCCCAAAGGGGACGTCAACTACGCGTTTCTTCACGCAACAGGTAAAGGGGCCGGATGGTCAGGACCGCGCTCCACCCTGCGGACGTCTGACCTCGCTAAGTGGATGGCGGGGTAGGGTGGGGGTGGGGACTCTGAGAATCTTCCACAGAATTGGAAAGACCTGGGGTCTGTGGGTTGAAGGCCTTCCCCAACCCGAGTCCGCGGCCACAGCGTCCTGCACTGCGCAGCCTCCAGAGTTGGAGGTAGCAGAGGCAGCCGTGTGCGCCTTGGTAGACTTCTTGGTGCTGCCCCAGGCTCTGGGTAGCACAAATTTCCAAAATGTCCTGCGAAGTAGTTCGGAATTGTAGGGATTTTTAGATGTTCGATTGGATACAAAGTAGTTTGTAGCCGTTATTTCAACAAGGAACCATTCTGTTTAACTCGAGCCCTAGGCGCTAAATTTTACCTACGCATGCATGACTCCCAGCCTCCCAAACAGCGCGTGAGCGCGCGCGCACACACACCGCCACACACCCCAACTTTGGAAACATCCGGCCTTCAAAAAAGCCAGGGATCACTTTTTCCTGGTTTGCCGAACGTTTCGGAAGTAGAATATTGACAAACCATTAAGATGATTTATTCAAATTTAGGACAAACGCTTGTGAAATAGACAAGCTGAGACACTTTTTTTGGAAAAAAAATAAACCAAGCAACATAATGTGCTACAAACAAAATGTAAAACTTAATTCTGGAAGGGGGTTTTATTCGCTAGTGTTTCCAGATGTTCTGGTTTTGAGACTGGGTCTTCTCCCCTGTAACCCGACCTGCCCTCCAATTCCCAGAGATCCCCCTTACTTCACCCTCCTGAGCACCGCGATTACAGTGCTAATCAAATTAGTTCAAAGCAAAATTGCCTGTTTAGTAATTGCCTGGATCTTTGCGTAGTGAAATCTAAAGTGTCCTTCCCATTCCGTTCTCCAGATCTGTTGCCGGCGTGTGATGGAGAAAGGCCCACTCTGGCATTTCTGCAAGATGTTATGAACATTTTGCTTCAGTACGTGGTGAAAAGTTTCGATAGATCAACTAAAGTGATTGATTTCCATTACCCCAACGAGCTTCTTCAGGAGTATAATTGGGAATTGGCAGACCAACCGCAAAATCTGGAGGAAATTTTGACGCATTGCCAAACAACTCTAAAATATGCAATTAAAACAGGTATTGTGCAGCCAGAATAATAAAGCTTCTTTTTCCTTTTGCAATTTTCTTTTTTTTCTATAAAACTGTTTTTTTTTATGTTGAGTCTTGTTATTCTCAAAATTGCAAAATTACATTCGCTTAAACATAGTCATTATTAGAGTGATTCAAAGGCACCTTTTTAACAATAAGGGAGCCGTCATCGAGGTATAAATTGTCAAATTGACACGGAGATTAGTCGGAGGTTGTACAGCAACCATTTGTCAGCAGGGGCCAGTACAAGGAACCCAAAATGGAGAAAGGAAGGGAATGTAAAAGGGCAGCTGTAAGATGCATTCCAGTAGCCAGAACTCCAGTGCAGTGCGCTGTTGGCAATTTCCTAAACGTGGAAACTAGTCAAGAACCCCCAGCTAACCAGCCTATATAATCAGCCTAGAGGGAGAATGTTATACACCTCAATATAAACTAGCTTAGCAGCCCAGCAGTATTACTCAAGGATTTGTCTCCTATATGGCTATGAAGTATGTGGATAAGAATACCCGACATGTTTAAGGGTCCATTTTAAACATGTGTGTTATGCTCTATTAAAGTCTCACAGCATCCCTTCAAACAGGGTAAAACGATGTTGTACTCCAGGTGCAACATCATTCGTGTACCTCAACAGCTTTCTTCCACTCAGGTCCTGAGTGCCCTGCTTTTCTTTCTACATCATCTCTAATCATCTCGATACATTGTGAAACAGTAAAGTGATAAGTATGAATGCCTTTTTGTGGTGGAGGAAGGAAAGCTATGGTTCACAATGATTTGTAGAACTGAAAAGATTTACTGGCAACTAACAAATGTGAACTAGTAAGTAAGCATTGGTTACCGTGCAAATGTCATGTTTTATGCCGCCATTTTGTGGGTAGTTTATTAGTATAACAAACAACAAACATTTTAAGAATTTTGCTGCAAAAATGGTTTAGCCTTTTCTCTCCTGAGCATTTTTTATATGATTAGAGAAGAAAAGGTTGCGTAGAAGCCTTGGGAAAACGGATTTATTGTGAACTTATTATCCACTTTGTAAGACCGTAGACTTGGAAACAGATATGAGGGGAAATGAGTTTAACTTGTTGATTTCCATAGATTATAGACATTTTTTTAGATATTGTCAGTTCGTCCTCCCGAAAAGTCAACAGCATACACATGTCAGGCATGAAAAGAAACTCTGCTCCCACTTATTTTGCAGGTACACAGCCACACAAAGTTAGGCAATGCTTTTAATCCTTTTCTGCTTGACCCGTCCCCCACACCAGACATTTAAACTCGCTAATGGCAAACTGCTACCATTTGTTTATGCTGCTCACAAATAAAAAGGAACACATACTTTTTTTTTACCTCTTTGTTTTTTAAAGCTGCTAGCTAATCTTTTAAATGCAATTTAGAATTACGATAATGGGAATTGCCAGTCAATGGGAGTAATAGTTCTGTATACCAATGCTCTGTTTACCTTTGAGGAGTAAATGGGTCCATTAAATTACCAGGTTTTTGCTATGATTTTTGTAAAACTGTTAGTCAAGTGTTGCTGTGGTGCATCTCCTTTAAAGTGACGATAAAAATCTGTTAGGTTAAGATGAATATCTCAATATTATTGAAGCCACATTTTGGCTTCTGCCCATATATCCCTAAATAGCACCAAAAAAATAAAATAAAATAAAATTTAAAAAATCCATAGGCAGCTTTTGTCTTCAGCTGAAAAGCTGGCTTCTCATGATGTTAGTGTTCTGTTTGGCAGCTGACACTACCTAGTCTACCAAAGCAGTTGTCCTCCCTGTTACCATCCAGTATTCTTATGATCCTTTGAAGATCATTTTATAAAATGCCACCTGGTCCCTCTTAACCTAATTTCCATCTGACCTCGAGCTTTAGAAAGGATTGAAGGGCAATGGAAAATTTTTAAGTGAGGTGTCTGTGTCACGTTTAAATCACTTGTAAAGAAGTGTTAGAACTAGAAACCTCCACGAATGTTAGGATTCTAAAATGATGTCTGCAGGGATTGCTTCCTTCATTTGTGGTGGCTGGGGGTGGGGAGCATAGAGTAATGTTAATGTAGTCTTCAATCTTTAAGAGAAGCTTTAGACAAAGGAAACTGAACCCACTGTAGGAGGAGCATCCTTCTGTGGGTTGTCAGTTCACAGAACGCAGTTTTAGAGGACTTTTGGCTTCTCTCCATCTGACTGGTGAGCACCAGGTCTCATTTGCCAGGTACTAGTTTTTGCACCTTCTTTAGGACTCATTTGCTAATCTGTGCAGGACACTCCCTGTGTTTGGAGATGAGCACAGGCCGCGGACGCCAGCGCTGCTGGAACTGCGGAACCGCTTCCAGTGTTCCCTGACAGCCCTGGATGGGTGCAGTGGGAAACCCGTGGAGGCAGTGCCCAGGGGCCACAAGAGCAGAACAAATGTAATCGGGGGGTATTTCTGCCAGAACCCCAAATGGCATGCTGTTCTGACCTGTCAAACTACCTAGCTCTGAAGTTTCACATCATAATCAGTGAAGGAAAGCTGTGGCACAGGAGAGCGTCAGACAAAAATGCAGACCAAGGTAACAAACTATGTGGAGGGAAGGAAACGCAGTAATAGAAGCATCAAGCTTGCATTTAGTTTATCACTAGTATTTGTTCAGAGCTCCTGCACACACCTTAGAATTCCTCTCCGTTTTACTCGGAGGTTTTTCTGCCAGAATTTCCACAGTTAAATCCTGTGTGGTAATAGGTAGGTTCATCTAGAAATGCATATAAGTTATAAAATAAATCCAGATTGATTTTCTCACTCAAAAAATGATTTGGCGACGGAAGAGTGGAGGGCCCTCTGGAGAGAGAAGTAGGCTGTGATGTCAGCTTCGGGCTAGAATGAAATGGGGAGTCAATGAGGCAGAGAGAAGGGGGTGGCATCTTGCAACAGCAACTCCAGCAGCTGAGGAACATTATACCTTTTCTGAATGAGTAAACTGATGAGGTCAGAGTCAAAGGGACTGCAGAAGAGAAAAAAAAGGGGCGGGGGCATGATTTGAAGCCATAAAGGAGGTAATGTCAAGAATTAACTAGAGGTGCACAAATACTAGTCTCTCTAAAATGTGCTCCTTCCCAGTGCCTGTCTGTTGCCATTGTGAAACTCTCTAGCTGCATGCCTGGGGCTGATAAGAGAGCCATCTAGTCCCAGAGATAAGCAATGTGCTTTTTCCAGTGTTGTCCTTTATCTTGTTTGGCCCACACTTGGGATGTGAGACTCACATCACAGGTACTGGACAGATGTCCGGCAAGTGACAGATACTGGTTTTTATCAGATACCACTTCCATAATTATGCTGCCTCCCAAACTGCTGTTTCTAAACACAACATGAATCTATTGGTAGGCTTGTACAGGGTGAGATGGGAAAACAGGCTCCCAATGAGATATTTATAATCACATTTCAAATAACAGCCTCCAGGGTATTTAAGGTATGAATAGATATCAATCTATTTACAGAATTTTAGATAAATCTAGGAGTTGATTAGATAATCCTTTTTATGGGTCAGTCTATCCATGAAATATACTTTTCACATATCTGTCAACAAAAGAGTAATGCTGACTATTCAGCTTTGTTCTAAATCTCAACTATGAGAAACCTCTGTTGACTATAATCAAATATTCAGACAGAGAACTGCCATAATTAGCTTTGTCTCTGCCATCTCTAGGCGCTCATCACCTTTGAATCCAAGACTAACCACTCAGCAGAGTGTCCTATTTTTTTTTTCATTTTTGTCTTGTCTTTGTAATGATCAGTCATTTGTCACTGATATTATTATGGATGCTGGCATCCCGAAGGATGTCACGATATGACTGATTCTCAGAACAGCTCAGCAAAGGGACTGTTAGCAGTATCAATGCAAATAAGAATGATCTGGGATATCATAACGTTTTAGTTTGCAATTATATTGGAAGTATAGTAGGAAATGAACTAGTCTCCACATTGCAACGTACATATTATTTTTATAAGGCTTACTTGAGAGATCTTTAGAGTATATCTTAGGGAATACTAAGCCCTAAGTAGCCCTTGGCTAGAGAAAGGGCTGCTTGCGTGTGTGTGCACATAAGTGTATGTGATCGTGTGTCTTGTGCTCAAGGTACATTTGCATATTTGATTTCTGAATATGCATCTCTTGTAACTGAAGTGTCTGTCAAGATCCTTTAGTTATAAAAAGCACGTGTTTAGGAGACAATTATTTTCACTGGTTGCAATCCTAATTCCGTTTCATTCAGGGCATCCCCGATATTTTAATCAGCTGTCTACTGGATTGGATATGGTTGGATTAGCAGCAGACTGGTTGACATCAACAGCAAACACTAACATGTAAGTAACTGATTACACAAAACCTCTTTTGTGTAAATCCCTTTGCATCATGTGTTCCTCTCACTCTGGCTTAATTAAATAACCTTAGTGTGTTTTTTTTATTTTATCAAACTATGCAAATATTTAAAGCAAAAAAAAGAGACTTTTAAACATTTTGATTTAAAATAACACGTTACATGAAAGAGAAATAAAGCGCGATGTTGCCTTTTAGGTAGTCCTACTATGCAATATTCTGCATTCAATATGATAAACTAGCCCTGTACATTAAACCAATATTTGAAGATCTTGCCTTTAAGGCAACAGAAAAATTAGCAATATTTCAGAAAACCTTTTATAAATAATTTTATATTTGATATTATAATCTTTACATCAATGAATGTATAAGTTTTTACAAAGGAGAAATTCAGTAATATTACAATAGTAGATACTTTATCTGAGCTACACACATAACCCATGGTCATTTATGCATTCCAGGTTCACCTATGAGATTGCCCCTGTGTTTGTGCTACTAGAATATGTTACCCTAAAGAAGATGAGGGAGCTCATTGGCTGGCCAGGGGGCTCTGGTGACGGAATCTTCTCTCCTGGTATATATATATATTTCATTTTTTCTCTGTCTTGTTCTGGCATGCCATGTTATAAACATTTATTCTGTGTTTATGATTAGGTCATTTAAGCTGTGTTTATGAAAATAATGAGTGTGGCTTAGTCCACTGAACCCACCTTGGAGTTTACTAATCCCATGCTTAAATGCCAATTATCTGTGCAGAGTATAGTCAGACGTGATATCACCCCATACTTCTACCATGACCTTACGTATAAAATGCATGGATAATGCTGGTCAAAAGAATAATAATTGTTAAGAAGGAAATTCACCCTTGCTGCATTTCTTGGAATGAGTGAAAGAACATCATTTAACACCACACTCGGTGTGTGACGGTGTGTACTGAGCTATAGTTCCTCAGGAAGAGGCCATTCCTTCTTTTCTCTAGTCTCTGGAATAATGAGCAGGGAGGTGGATTTAGACTAATTTCAAGAAGAGCAATGAGTGCCTGGAGAGGTGGCTCCTTAGAGATAGAAGAGAATGCCGATTTCTTTGAGGCATTTTCTCTCCTCTTTATCATGTAAGATGATCTTTTCCATTTTGCCTTTGATTACCAGCCACTGCATGCTAAGCTCCTTTATTTACACTTCTCCCAGCCCAGAGAATCAACCTGAAACAAAATGCTGTGACCTTGACTTGATTCCTGGATGAAAAAGGAGTTGGGAAGGCAATGGGAAAAGTCACTGACCCATGTAAAAGAAGCCTAGTGTCAGAGAAGTCCCTAATCAGTGAGAGGACACCAGTCTTCAGTAAGCTGTGATGGGTGGGTGGGAAAGGAGAGGCCAGAGTTACACCTGCAGCTGGCCGGCACAGCCAGGCACAGCCAGGCACAGCCAGACACAGCCAGGCACAGCCAGGCACAGCCAGGCACAACCAGGCTGGATTCAGATCCCTCTGAAGCAAGTCTGCAAAGGCAGTGAGAGGTGACAGGGCTTGAAGATGAAACAATGACCAAGCAGCAGTGTTCTCCAGGACAAGACTTGAGTATGTCTGACCAACCATCTCACCTTTGTTGTTTTATGTATTTAAGTACACAGCATGTTTTTTTCTGATGCTAAAAGGAAAGTGTTAAATGGAACAGAAAATTAGCCTTAAAAAAACGTCATTGAACACTAGTCATGATGGATTCTTTCATTTTCTAGGCAATTTAGTACCTACTCTCCTTTCCTGCTAAGTTTGAGCATTTGTGTTTACTGTCCGAGATTGATGCTTAGAAAATATTTTCATGAAGAACTAGGTAGAGTTACAAGTGTTACTGGGTCAACATCATTTCTACCTTATTCATTCTCTTATAGGGTTGATGGTAGGATTGAATTGTCCCTGACATGTACCAAGAGCAACATGGTTCACTTTTCATAACTCACACAAGTAGGAATCTGTTGACTATGAAATTTTTGCTAGTCTAAGTAGGGGGCATGCTTAATTATCTAGCCTGTTTTGGAACCTACATGACCCAGAAAAGATACACCCCAAGAAATCCTCGTTGTTGGTTCTGCTAGGTTCTGCCTGACACAGTGAATGGTGGCAAATCAGTAGGTGGAAGCTCTGGTGCTTCTTCCTTTGAGCCTGAAGACTCATATATTCTAACCGTGGTGTAAACGCCATAGGTGTAGTGTTATATTGTATTATAAATATTCCAAAGTCAGAGAGGACAGCAACAGAAAGCAATGCAGCTCTGTTTCTGCTTAATTTCCTACAAGAAGAGTGATGGTGTACAGCATCCTTATTTGCTAGTAGAAGTTTTACTAGGTAACAGCTAGCCTTGCTCCTGGGCTAGAGAGTCCAATGATTCAAGGGACAGGAGTAGAGAAAGTAGCACCACAGGCACATCCTGGTTTCTTCTGGTCCTGGCAATAAATCTTATAAGTTGTGTCTTTGACTTGGACAAAATGCTTAACTTGTTGTGACTGTTGTTCAGTTCTATTCATCCCTACCATGAACAGCCAGGAACTTGGTGCTTCTTGAACTTGCCTCATGACTCCTGGAAGAATTCTGTATATGCAAGTTACCTACACTCGAGAATCAGGTCACAAAGGAGAAGGACTGGGGGAGAAAAGGCCTGGCTTAATCTCAGATAGTTTCCTAACATAGTCATTAGAGGCTGTAGGTTGTATCTCTTCTCCTCTTCATGTGGTTTTGCACAAATTCCTTTATCATCCTCTGCACAAATCCCTTCAGCATCTTCAAAGCTGCAAAGCATTTAGCTGGAGCATGAGTAAGATGCAAACTGAGGAGCAAGAGACCAGGGTTGAAAGCTTCTTGAATAATTACATATGAAGAGGGCTTTCTTTGTTTATATTTCCCTTTCTTTTCTAGCCCCCCATTCCTCACCCCAACCCCACCCCCACCAGACTGAGAAATGTAGCAAGAGCAGAAGTTCTCAACTAGGGAGCCAGTATTGCCCTCCCAAAAGAACAACTGGCATTATCTGTGGATATTTGGGGTTGTCCTGGTTTGAAAGAAAACACTGTTTGCAGCTGGAATTCATGAGTGAGGGTAGCTACCCAACACCACTTAAGACAATCCTCTTTAAGGAATTCTGTAGTTCCGAATGTCAGTGAGGGTTAAGACTGAGAAGTCATAAGCTAGACTGAAACTTGCTCAAAAGCTTTCCCTTGAGTCCAGCATCACACAGTCTGTCTCTTACCTGGGCATCTGATCAGAACATACTTGACCTGTCCTAGGTCTCTAGGGCCTAACAAGGTAGCAACTGCCTGCATTCTGATTGTACAGATGCCAAGGGCTGGTTGATGGCTCTGTACCAAGTGCCCTGCCTGTGTCAGAGCCCAGGGCTCATAAGGCAAAAGCCATAGCCCTGCATAGGCTCTTCAACTTGGCAGAGTCTGCCTGATCCTCAACTAGAAGAAAAGGCTGATCAAACCATCCATGAAATAGTCCTAAGAGTTTCATTCTTGGAGTGGGGCAGACAGAAAATACTTTCAGTTCCCTCGGCCTTCTGGTTCCAGGTCCCCTAAGACAGCCTATTCAGTGCCTTCATATTTCCTGGAGAGCAAAATTCCTAAGGTTCTGAACAGTCCTGCAGAAAGTCTCACTGCTTGTGAAGTGAGACCCTCCTTACAGAGAAGAGTAAAACTTGATCATGTGAAATCTTGACAGTCTTGGGGAAATACAAGAAATATAATTCTACATGGAGCTGAAATCAGCAGCAGCATTTCATTAATGAATATAATTGTATATCTCAGGGATATCTCTGAGAGGAAAGACCTTTTGAGAGGACTCAACAGAGGCTGAGGAGATGAATGTGGATGTTTTCCACCATTCTATAGGAACCATTAGCAGACTGCAGAGTGAAAGGCAGCTTATTTGTCTCAATTCAAGAACAAGGCATTGCTGGCAATGAAAAGAAATAGCTATTTGCCACCACCATAGAATGGAGGGTTTTACATGCCTAACGATGACTGGCTATACTTATAAACTAGAGAAAAAAGAAAGAAAAAAATCTCTTTTCAAAAGTATCTTCAAGGTGAGCATAGTGGTACATACACCAATCCCAGCATTTGGAAGGCTGAGACAGAAGAATCATGAGTTCAAAGCCAGCCTGTGCTATATGATAAAACTTTCAAAAACCGCTCCTAACAAGAGTGAAATAAATGAAAATTCCCCTTGAAGTCTCTCTCCCCCTCCCCCTCTCTCCCTTTTACTCTCTGTCCCCCTCCCCCTCTCCTCTACCCTCACCCCCCCTCCTTCTCTGTCTTTCCAGGGTCACTTTGTAGTCCTGGCTGTTCTGATACTCACCATGTAGACCAGATACTGGCCTTGAGTGTATGCACCACCATACCCAGCATTTAAAGTGTTTGTCTTACTGTAGTTGGGGCCCAATGTGCTTTCCTGAACCCTCTTAGCTGTATCTTTGAATCTGAGAATAGACTTTATAGAAGCTGTACAGTTTTCCCTAGAAGTTGGGTCAGTGCTTCTTCCATTTTCCCATTCATGACCCCTTTTTTTATCTGGGAACTGTGTAGTCTACCTGGATTCCTAGACATATAAAATAATCATACATGTAAAGCATACACTGATAGTAAGTTGTAAACCTTATTTTAAATTCTTTTTTATGTATGACACCTTTGAAATTATTAAAGACAAAACAAATTTGCAAAATAATGAGATAAATATGTTTACTTTACAAAAATAATGAGGCCTTAGGTGGTTACTTGATACTGCACTACGTAAAGGTGTCACAATTTTTAGTTACTCCTTATTGTCTGTAATAGTCAGTGCATTATAATGCCACATTGCATCCATATTCAATATCAAATGGAAGAAGTATACTTAGGGACATTTTAGGAGTCATTGAACATTTTATCTGAGACCCAAACCAATATTTATTCATCATTTATTTATGAACTCATCTCAACAACTCAAACAGCAACTTTAAAATCAAACATTCTAACCAAATACCAACCAGATACATCAGTATGCACCAGCTAAGTCAAATAATGGAGAAATATTAAACGTTTGTTTTCTATAATTAAGCCATTAAGTTTCTATAACAGCAGAAAATTTTGTATGTACAGTAAAAAGTATTACTACTCATAACATACAATAATCTTGTAACTGACACTTTAGGCAGCATTGGTATTGTATGCCATGATGCAGAGGGCAAAGTGACCATAATGTGTGTTTAGAACCAAGGCTACAGTGACATCCTGTGATGTGACATGAACTGTTGAACACTTTCAGAAACATCCCAGACTCATTATATGGTTGATTTTGAACTAATTTTTGGTTCTGGTGTATTCAGAAACGTTTTATTGTTCTCAACTTTTCAGACTCTTCTCCCCACCAAATTCAGTTACATGATCCCATATTGGGCTGTGACCCGCAGTTTAAGAAACTATTCTAAGTCAATGGAAACAGAATGCTGCTTGCATGAGAAGTGTTGATAGACTGGGAAACAGTAGCTGTTTCTGTGTCCTCTAGGTGGCGCCATCTCCAACATGTACGCCATGCTCATTGCCCGCTACAAGATGTTTCCAGAAGTCAAGGAGAAGGGGATGGCGGCTGTGCCCAGGCTCATCGCGTTCACATCGGAGCATGTATGTGTTTATGTTCTTTTCAGCATAAGATTGTATCGATGGGTCCTGTTAAGTGAATAACGCCCGGAAATGTCTTTTCCCTGGATGTGCTCTTTCCAAGAGACACATCTTGAGAGAAAGAGGGGAAAGTTGAGTTGAGCTGAGCTGACCATTGGGATATCCTTATCTCTGAAATGCAGTGAAACCTCAAAGATAGAGCAGAATTTATACCTTTTATTTGAACGAATTGTTTTTAATTATGTGTATATGTAATTATATCTATGGGTATATACACATGTATGCTGGTACCATGCCAGAGACCTCCCTGGAACTGGGGTTACAGGCATTTGTGAGCCACCTGACATGGATGGAAACTGAACTCTAGTTCTCTGCAAGAGCAGTACCTGGCTCTCTAACCACTGAGCTGTCTCTCCAACCCCAAAGCTGAATAGATTTAATTCCAGCTCCCGTGTGTCTTTAATGCTATGTGATGAGGGACGAGGAGTAAGATAAAAGGCAGCGTGACGTTCAAGTCTTCCAAATCACTGATGCGGCGCTGTATATAACCCAAACTGCACAAGGCCCTGTTGATGTACTCTTTCTGGTTAAAGCTGGAGTTTTCCTGATTAGATAGATTCAACCCTTGTGGTGCCTTTTAGCCATTTAACTCAAAGCTGCCTGACTTGACTTAGTGCTGTATCAGTTGTTTTAGCACAAAGCAGTCTAGGGAAAGATTTAATTTCCCGCCTGGTTTCAGACAGTTCAGTCCATTGTGGTGAGAGGGAAAGTGGGACAGAGCAGTCACATCATGGTGAGCCTGGAAGCTGAGATTGACAAGCTTTCACCTCTCTGCTTTTGCTTTGTCCCCACCTCCAGTCCATGGGTTAGTGTTCCCCACTACGGGATGGTCTTACTCCCCTCAGTTGATCATCTCTGGAAACACTCTCATGAACACACCTAGAAATGCCTGGCTCCTCATTCTAAATCTAGTCAAACCACCAAAGAAGATTAGGTATCGTGAGAACCATAAAGAAATGACACAGGGGTCTTTTCTAACTGATATTTGAGCCAGATCTCTGCCATACACTGGTTCCTGCCTACCACTGGGGTGATAGCTAGACAGAGGCTAAGAAGTCTGGTCTTCCTTGTTGGATACCATGGTATAGAATGTAATACTCCTCCTGTGCCTTTCAAAGAGTGCACACTACCCCCTCTGCTACCAGGTAGGCATGAAAACAATGTTCCAGTTGGTTCACATAACAAACAGCTCCCTCTCACTCTCACATAGCAGTGCACAGCAACAAAGAATCCACACTGCAGCAGACTATCCAACACTGTAAGACTAAGTGTTGCCGACACAGGCCTCTTGATTTGACCCATAGCAGGGGATGACTTTTACTTAATTGTAGGTTCTATATGGGTAAAACAAACACAATCTTTCCTGTCCCCATTTCTATGATGTGGATTCAGATCCCTAAATAGTTAAATAGTTCTGCATGCTCAGCTTCAAAATGCCCAATACTACAGCCTCAAAATGGTTTTATGCTAGACATCCTTTTCTTTGGCTCTCTAAAGCTGCCCTAGCAGCAAGCCGCCCTACGCTCTCTGCCTTTAGAATAAGCTTTTGAGCCTCATACTTGATAAAAGTGACTTAGCCTGTTTCAGAAAGCTCAGACCATATGTATGCTCTGACACTACTTCTGTGTACTATAAGTGAAGTCCATTCCTTCATTTCTAAGAGGAAGAAAGGCAACTCATTTGTTTAATTCTCAATTCACATAATAAAAACGATCATCTGATTATGAACCTTACCTAGAATACCAACTGGTTCTGGACTTTGCATTTTGACACATGGAGTTTTTTAAATGATATATTTGCTCATTCTTTGACCATCCAAAATTACTTTAATAACTAATGGGAATAAACCTATTTGATTTTCCTAACCTTATGGCAGGGGCGAATATATACAGAAGAACTGGTGCAGAGCCATGCCGGCCCTGTGCATGCTGTCTCAGTCCCTCTGAGTTCATATGACCTTTGCTCATGTTGATTTAGGGGCCTTATTTTCTTGACGTCTTCCATCCCCTCTAGCTCTTATTTCTATTCCTTCCACCTCATCCTCCACAGAATTCCCTGAGCCTTGCAGACAGGGATTTGATGGAGACATTCTATTTAGAGCTGAGTATTCCAAGGTCTCTGACTCTCTGCATAGTGTCTGACTGTGAGTCTCTGTGTTTGTCCCCATCTGCTGCAGGAGGATGCTTCTGCACTGATGACTGGCCAAGGCACTGAGCCATGAGTAGCAGCATGGTATTAGGAGCCATTTTTGTTGCTACATCTTTTTAGATCAGTAGTATTTGGTTTTACACTAGGTCTCTGGGCTATCTAGTCTCAGATCCTTGGTGGCCCAAGCAGTGGTGAGTATAAGTTCCATCTTGTGGAATGGGCTGGAAGTCAAATCAAACGTTGGTTGGTTACTCCCACAAGCTCTGTGCCACCAATGCCCTAGCATAGCTTATAGTCAGGAAACCATTGTAGATGAACATGTTTATGGATAAGTTGGTTTTTACTTTTCTCTTTTGGTAGTATCTTTCACACCAAAGATACTGGAACATAGGGGTAAAGTTTCTATATAGACACCAGCTCGGCTTGTTCATGTTCAGTGAGTAATATGAGTGTTTTAAACAGTGTTTTGTACTTTCCATGACCAACATTCTGCCGTGAGCTTTTTCTTAATTAGAAGTTGATATTAGATTGTTACTCCCTCCCTGTGCCTGGAATAAGCCACTTTGTCTCCTAAGCCAGGCTAGAGGGACATTTAGGAAAAAGTGCTCTAGCTTCTACCTATACCATTCACCCAGAGCATTTTAGTTATGCTCAGGTATTTACAAGTGAGTCCTGCTCTGGAACCTACAGATAGAGAACTCACTTGCTTCTCATCTCTAGTTCCCTTGGGTCCGATTCATCATTCCCTGTAGCTCTTCTTGGCTTCTGGGCAAGGGAACAAATTCCCTATGTACTGTCAAACTTTACAATCATTTTGTTTGCTCCTGCTCCTGAAATAGCTCCAAAAAGTCTGAAGACAGAAAATTATCAAGTCTTTCCTAAGTCGCCTTTTTCTCTAGTCTGTGCATGGCCAGTCCTTGCAGTGGGTTTTTTTCCAACAAGGAAGGAAAAGGAGCTGCTGTGCTGGAACAGGAAAGGGAGGGGAAGGCGGGTAGCTGCAGTGTCTTTCTTGCTCTTTGAGATGTTTTCCTAGCCCAGTATTTACAGGACTCAGATGAGAGCCCCCGAAAACACTTGCCTACTGCCAGAGGCACAGGAAGCTCTACATGTGTGTGTGTGTGCAGATAACTCTGTAAAACAACATGCTTGCTTAATAGAGGAAGAACAATAGAGGAAGAACTGCTCCAGAAGTGAGCAGTGCTTTGTCCTGGATCACACAGCCAATGTGGCAGAGCCAGATCTATAGCCCCTGTTCCTCAACCATCCAGTACTGCTCTTTCAACTACTGGGTTCGAAGACTGAATGCCATTCTGTAGCTGGGAGCTCCACATTTACTTGTCGTGTCTTGTCTTAGGTGATATTTTCCTTGTCTGATTATTATTTTTTTTCTTTTTACCCCCCTTGTCTGATTATTATAAGGCTAATAATTTCATAATGTACCAAATCGGGTCATGCAAGTTATTATTATTTTATTCTGGGTGCCGAATTTGTCATGTGGCATGTTTAGTTAGAGCCATTTTCCTGGTTAGGGTGACTACTGCTGTGATTAAATACCATGACCAAAAGCAAGTTGGAGAGGAAAGGGTTTCATTTGGTTTACACTATCACTATTCATCACTGAAGAAAGTCAGAACAGGGACTCACACAGGACAGGAACCTGGAAGCAAGAGATGATGCAGAGGCCATGGGGGAGAGTGCTGTTTACTGGCTTGCTCCTTATGGCTTGCTCTGCCTGATTTCTTATAGAGCCCAGGACTACTAGCCCAGGGTGACACCATCAATGAACTGAGCCCTTCCCAATCAATCACTAATTAAGAAAATACTCTACAGGCTTGCGAACAGCCCAATCTTATGGAGGCCTTTTCTCAACTGAGGCTCCCTCCTCTCCAGTGACTCCAGCTTGTGTCAAGCTGATATAAAACTATGGAGCTCAAACATGGAGATGAAAATAATGTTTAGCAATTCTATAGCCCATCATATCCAACTGGAAGCTTCACACATGGTGTGGGGGGGGGGGGGGGGAGGGTGTGGAATGTCTTCCTTTGTTTCCTACATGACATCTTCCCACCATGTATTCCTTCCTCTTTTGCTGAGACCAGTGCAAATGGAAGCTTCGTCTAGAAACCAGTACAGACTAGAACTTCATCTAGCTGATAAGTGGGACAAGCTATTACATTTTTCTCTATGTTCAAATGAACTGCTTTCTCACAGAACTTGGATAGGACTAAATTAAACAAACAGTATTAGAAGTGAGTGAGTCACTGAGCTGCAAGCAAAGGGCTCCAGGATGACTTCCCTGCAGTATACAGCATCACAAGATCACGACATTGGAAGGGCCATACAGCCCGTTCATTTCACATTCACCCTCTGCTGAATCATCACCTCCCCCAAGGCTCCCTTGAAAGAAGGGCATAACAAGAAGTAATCTAATGAGTTCTAGATAAAAGCTGATATAGAGAGATCTAAAATCCTAGCTCAAATCTCACCTGTCACTCTGAACCTTCAAAACCCCACACCTTGGAAAGGGTTGTACATCTCTCTTTACCTTCATGTGACACACGCTTTTCCAGAAATAGCCTCCATGAAATAGCACAATGTCATTGAGGAAAAAAATCATCCTTTACAATCATAAGAGAGAAGGTTCTTTTAGCCAAATCACCGGGACAAATTCACTCTGCTTTTCACAGATCAACTCCTGCAGGTATCCATGTCTTCTGGACTGAATCCTCAGACATCCCCTCAGCTTCTCTTGAGAAGTAGGAAGGGGACCGCTCTGCTTGATTTCTTATAGAACC